CTTTGAATATGGTAGAGCTCATGCAAGGGTAATCCATTCAGTGTCATGACCTCAAAGATGGACATGGAAGGTCACTGGACCTCTTCTTAACTTGGCCAACATCAATAAGTCTGCTTTGTTTATGCTTTTCACTGTGGGTTTGTTTCTTTGATTGTGTCGTTTAAAGTTGGTAGCAAATCCTGGGTTTTTAGAACTGCCAGGGACTAGACTCTTACCCCAACTCTAGTACACTGAGATTCCACATCATACCTGCTTCAATTTTGATTGTTGGTGTAGATGTAGAGAAAGAGGAATGCTCAAGCATCTCAGGTAGGTATGCAAAATGAAGCAACTGATGTGAAAACAATATTTACATGAAATTACCATGTGATCAAGCAATTTTCTTACATATACATCCAGTAGAACTGAAAGTAGGGACTCAGATGTGAACACACCAATATTTTTAGCAGAATTATTAACAACTAAAATGTTCTTTGGCAGATAAATGCATGAATAAATTGTACCTATAATTGAATATTATTCAGTCTTAAAAATGAATAACCTCTTGTACATGTTACCAACCCAGATATATCTGAAAAAAAATATTTATGCTTAGGAAAAGAAACTAGACACCACGGATATATACTGCATGATTCCATTTGTATGATAGATCCAGAATGTGTAAATTCATTGTCACAGAAAAAGTAGTAGCTGTCAGGTGGAAAGAGGGAAATGGGAAATGAATGTCAGTGTTCACAGGGTTTCTTTGAGTCTGGTTCAAATATTTAAGAATTGAATAATGGTAGAGTGTCCGGTAGTACAAGTGTGTGAATATACAAAACACATGGAATTGAAAAGATGATGAAATTTGTCATATGTGGATCATGTCCCAATAAAGATTATAATATAAAGATGGGTAGAGACAGACACATTTACTGTAGACAGTGTTAAAATATTGTTGTTAATAAAATTACATGTTGCTTTATTCTATGCCTGTTCAACATCATGAAAATTGAAAATACTTCATCTTTAAATATTCCTCTGAAGCTTTAAAAAATGGTTTCTTTATTATTATTGTGTATTGGGGGTGGTCAGGGAACAATTTCTAGAATTAGTTATGTCCTTCCACTGTGGGATTGAGCTCAGGCAGTCTCAGTGTAGTCTGAGGTTTGGTAGAGAGTATTGCAGTCTGCAGTCACTCTGAGCCTGGGTAGAGATGAAAACTCTCTAGAGGCTTGGCTGCTTCGCTTGTCTGATCTTCAGCTTGAACCCCAATATCTGTCTCTGGGTTTTTTAATTATCTGTGCTACATGGTTCCATTTAAACAAAATTCTACAATAGACAGCATGAATGAAAATTGATCAAAAGTGGGCAAAGAGAATGATGGCTTGTGGCTGTTTATACGAGTGCACACAAAGGAAAAATTGGCCAAGATGTCATATTATAGTATACCTTCTATTTCACTTACGAACAGAAAGATTAGCATTCAGAGAAATCTGGCAAAACAAGTTGCTTCCTTGCTGCTAAGTGTAATGTATATCTAAAATCCTAGCACTTGGCACTCAAGGAGGCTCATGGGAGGGAGCTGGGATCTCTAGTTCAAGGCGAGCCTGGCTGCATACTGAGACCTTGTCTCAAAAGAGAGAGAGAGAGAGAGAGAGAGAGAGAGAGAGAGAGAGAGAGAGAGAGAGAGAGAGAGAGAGAGAAGGAAAGAGAGAGGGAGGGAGAGAGAGAGAGAGAGAGAGAGAGAGAGAGAGAGAGAGAGAGAGAGAGAGAGAGAGAGAGAGAGAGAGAAAGGAAAAAAGAAAGAAAAGCAATAAGCAAAATTATCTGCTGGCAAGAATTCCTTGATTGGAAAGCACTTTAGCAGGTTTGCAGTTAGAGTAGAGAACTGGTCCCTTGGTTGGGGGTGGGGAGGTTGCGGAATCACAAGGCTTTTTTTACATTAATTTATTTTGTTTTTATTTTACATATCGATCCCAGTTCCCTCTCCCTCCCTCTTTTCCTCTCTCCCATCCTCACACGCAACTCTGACCACCCTCCCCTCCTACCCTCCCCCACTCCACGTGTAGGGTGATGCCTTCCAAGAGGGGTCATCTAAATCTGTCAAGTCTTTTGGAGTAGGTAATAGGCCTTCTCTCCTGTCTCTAGGTTAAGGGAGTATCCCTCCATGGGGGATGTGCAAGCAAGGTCCTTTCCTGCACCAGGGATACATCCTGGCTCCACTGTCAGAGGTCCCTTAGACTGCTCTGGCCTTCTAGCTGAGACCCGTGTTCAGGGGGTCTGAGTTAGTCCCAGGCTGGATTCCCAGCTATCAGTCTGGGGGACGTTAGTTCCTCCTTATTCAGGTAAGCTGCCTCTATGAATCACAAGGCTTTTGCTTACCTGTGCATATTCCCAATAAAACAAGGAAATTTCGCACATTGGAAAAAGAAACTGCTTTGCTCCTAACACGCAGTAAGCCACGCTGTTGAGTTGCGACTCAGTTCTGGGAGGAAACAAGATGCGGACAAAGAGCACTTCTGGGATTCTGGGTGCTTTGTGGGAGTAATTATGCAAAGGGAGGGACAGCCTGCTGAGTGGGGAGGGAGGCTTTCTCCGCTCTCGCTAAGAGAGTTGAGGCTGAAGCTGGGCACTTGAGCGAGCAAACTTCGGAGCTTGATTTTAATAAAGGCTTGACCCCTTCCAATTCCTCTTGGAATCTGGCACTGCTACGGGCTTAGAGAACCACAGCTTGGAGCTTCAGGCCACTGTCCCTTTAGTTTTGACACTTTGTCAGTTTCTCTCAGAGCAATTCTTTGGCAAGGTGAGGGAGGGATTTGGGTAGGCAGGTTGGCGGCAGTCTCTTGGCCTGTCTGTATGTACATATGTAAGCATCCATTTCAGACAACCAGGGACACTTGGAAGGAATTTTGCACTCAGTCAGGGTACAGGATATGAAATGCAAAGACCAGCCTCCCTTTAAGGGAACTAGTGGGAAGTTAGGTCCACTATAACTTGGGGATTGATAGCTAAGATGAGCTCAGTCTGGCAAAGTCTGGATAGGCCAAATAAATGTGCACTACTCTGTCCATTATATGTCTGTGTGTTAAATGTGCAGCATATGTTTTAAAAGCACAAACAAATAAGATGCCTCAGAGAGTAAATGCACCTGCTGCCAAGCCTATTGAAATGCATTTGATTCCTAGTATCCACATTTTGAAGTAGTCCTCTAACATCAACATGCACACAGTGGCACACACATAACCCCTCCACCCCCCCCCCACACACACAAAGTAAATAAAATGTTAAATCCTCTAGGATTAGCAGAGGTTTTGCTTAAAATAAATAAAGATGCCATATATGTGTAATATATGTCATGGTGTCCTAATACATATTTGAAATTTTGAACAATTTCTTTTGAGACTGAGGTCAGGAGGTTGGTCCAGTGGCTAGAGCCCTGTCACCCATGCCCAACTCCGCTCTCTCCTTATACTATCACATAAGCTCTTTTGTTTGACCCTTCCATTTGTACGGTTGTGGCAGGGTTGAGGTGTAGCTTTACTCCTTCCACAGGAGAAAAGTAGCACCCCTTGAGAAAAAACCTGCAACACCTGTATGCCTCCCTACCCCATGTCCTCCAGTGAGTCCCACAGCCCTTGCTCCCCAAAGTTCGCTAATTAAAATACCTGAGCTGAGAGAGGTTCCAGGGTGCTCCAGACTTGTGACAGAGATAGAATCTGCAGTCAAGTCTTCTTGTTCCTTCAGGACAGTGCTCTCCCCACCACCCACACCCTACACACCACCCCCATAAGTAAGAGAAAGAAGACGAAATCACATACTAAAGCCACAGAACCACTTTATTTAACTGCTACCACAAAAGCAGAAGAGAATTAAGGCAGTATGATACATTTCGGGTTTTTTTTTTTTTTTTTCTTTTTTTACAGTGAACTCTGATTAAAGTGACAATTTGAACCAGAAATTGAAATTTCATTTAAATGGCAGTTTGTTCTTGAGTTCTAAAGGAAAATCACTTTCAGAACTGGCATGAGACTAACTACTTCAAATCATGTCACTGAGCCAAGCATATTGAACTTACTGGTGCTGGCAGCTCTTCCTCCTTGTCCCCTACGAAGAGGGTCACAAAGACAAGGCTTTTTAATACTCCATTTGCTTCTAGCTATCAGTTGTTACCTTGAATTCCCTTTAAATGAAGAAGATGTAAAAACTGATGGTGTCAAAATATCAAGGTGTTTAAAAGAGTGATTATGAATTTATAATACAAACATAACTGTATTTGCCACCCAGGATACCAATCATAAGAAATTACTTGCACATGAATCTATTTCTGTGGAAATAAAAGAATGGCCTGGACGATGCTTGAAAAACTCAAATGACCAAAAATCAGGTAAAAACATCTCATTATTTGCAACTGAATCTATAAAAATAAGCACCAAAGTTTAAATGTACACAAAATAGAATCAACTTATTATGACACATCATTCATTTTGCCACTTGATCTGACAGGCATTAAAAATGTACTGTAATAAGAACTCATCTAATTCTGTCCTTCAGAAAGGGGCATATTTTGTCAAGGAAATCTTGAAAAGCAACTTTCAAGTGTTTTCACTTCATGCTAAGTCCTTTTCTGACTGCCATCAAATGTACAACACAGAGTTACACAGTTACAAAATAAAACTGTGAGGTCACAGTCACATTACAGAGTTGATCACCAAGACAGCCTTGAGCAGTCTGCACGTCCTCCTCCCCCACGCCTGGGAACAGGAGAAGAAAGCAGGAGGCAGAGGGAATCAGGGATTGGGCCAGGAGGATCAAAGCAACAGATAGCTCAGAGAGGCTTGGGACCTCAGAACCACAGATGTCACACTTGGAAATCTGACCTCTAAGATAGCAAGAATATGCACACTTTCAAGAGTACAGGGTGCCAAAGAGGAGTATGCTTTAAAGGCGGATAGAACTTCCACTATGTCTGGAGGCCCATGTCTGTGTGTCAGTGTGTCCCTGCAATGCAAGTGTCTCACTCTGGACTGCAGAAGCAGGGCAAACTGTAAAGAACACTTCACACAGCCATCTCATCAGAACAATCAGAATCATCAAAATCATCATCAATAAGCACAACCTTTCGGTAATCATCGGTAGCAATGGGGATTACAGTGGGGTCAGGAGGGCTGTCAGAGGTGGCAGCAGCCTCAGGGAATACAACCGGAAAGTTGGAGACGGTACTGCCAGGTTTGACGTGGCCAGTGGTGGTCATCTCAAAGCAATGGGAAGCTGAGATCTCAGGGAGGTCAACAGCAGTGAGCACAGAATGGCTGCTGGTGGCAGGCTCAAGATAGTCAACAGTGATGGTTTCAGGGTGGCTGGTAGCAGTGGAGGTAGGATGGTTGGAGGAAGAGCCAGCAGAGATACGGTGACTGCTGACAAGCTTGGAAGAAGCCCTGAAATGAGCAGAGTCCCCCTTGAAATAGACAGAGTCCCCCTTGAAATGGACAGAGGCAGGCTTAAAATGGACAGAGGAGGCTGGCTTAGGATAGACAGAGGCAGACTTGGGGTGGCCAGAAAGAGACTTATGATGGAAAGAGGCAGGTTTTCGGTAGGCAAAAGTAGACCTGGTTTGGGGCTTGGGGTGGACAGAGGCACGGTCAGAGTGGGCTGCTGCTGCTACATCACCAGGCAGTAGAACATTCCGGACGTTCTGCGGGGTTCCCTCCACAGCAAGACAGGCTTGGGTGTGCTCATCTTCTCTGGCTTGACTCCGGGCACGAACACGGGCACGAGTGAGAGCTCGGGTCTCCCAAGCCTCCCGAATATCAGTGATGAGGCGAGAGATGAACAAGATAGGGTGCCGCAAAGCATGGAAGATGGTCCAGTATTCTCGTCGGAAGCTCTCATTGAGGATACCGTAGATGATAGCATTGAGGCAGCTGTTGGAGTAGGCTATGCAGTAGGCTGTAAGATAAAGCCAGTTAGGGATCTTGCCTGCCATATCCTTTGGACTGACAGCCACCAACACAGTGAGCACATTGATAGGGCACCAGCACACTGCAAAAAGTAGAAAGATCACAAACATGGTTAGAAAATTTCGAACTTCAGCAAACTGATTCTCAGGATTCTGTCCAGCTGAGTCACGGGCTGCCAGCACTTTGATCCAGATTTTTGTGTAGCAATAACCGACTATGAAGAGAGGGAGGACAAAGTGGATGCAGACAATGGTAACAGAGAAGGCAGAGTTGTTCGTATAGTTGAAGATACAGGAGTATGTGCGAGGATCATACTCAATGGTGCCAATGTACATGTTAGGCAGAACAGCAAGGACAGTCATGACCCAGGTAATGATCAGGTAGATGCAACTATTGCGCAGACTGAAGATCCGCTTGTATTGGAGGCTGTGGCAGATGTAGCAGTAACGGTTGATGGCAATGGCCGTGATGTTGAAGATGGAACCGACAACACTCAGTCCTGAGACCAGCCCGACTATCTGGCACTGGAGCTGACTCAGATCCCAGCCCCCAACTGACATGGCGTACAGCATCATAGGGTAGGGGTAGATGGCCACCAGCATGTCTGCCACAGAGAGACTGGCCACAAAGATGTTGCCTGAAAAACAGCAGAAGGAAAAGAAGGAGAGAGACAGAAATCAGTGGTTAATATTTGGGAAGCTACCATCCAAAAAGGAAAAGGGCAATTGGATAGGTGACAATTTAAAATACTAGATTTCTTTTGAAGAAAACAATTTTCTTCTTGTTTTTCTTTCTTATTTACAAGCAAATCACAGGTTGCTCTGATGCCCTATGAGTTTGGGATACCTGTGCTCTGCCAATCTTTTGATTATTGGTTTTCACTGTCACCAGTGAATATATAATAGTGAGCAAAGCAGCTAACATCTGAGGTGTAGTGGGGAGAGCCCTGCTGACGCTATTTAAAAAAAAATACAACTACGCCACATTTCCTACACTGAGAGATGGAGAGGGAAACAATGATAATAATGATGTATTAACCCTCTTCCTTATGAAAGAAGAACTACATACCTAAAGAGAACACCCTGAGAAGGCCTTGGGGGCTTGTTTAAAACTCAAACCGTACTCTCAGTGAAATGCTTACTCCAGCTACCTTCAGAGTAAAACCTAGGAAGAGTGCGGGGGGAGGGATGTACTACACACCCTATAATATCAATCTGAGGTCAAAGAAAGTGGTCAGGGGGAAGGAGAAATCCCTCAAGTGCAGGTTTACCCCAGGCCAGGAATTAAGCATCCTGCACAGACTCCTCTGGAGCATGGGAGCCTGCCAAGCTGAAGAAGAAAACAGCTGTGGGTAAACCCTGCCTTCTGTCCTGCCTCATTCAAAGAACAGCAGTAGCAAATTACGTGTGTGTGTGTGTGTGTGTGTGTGTGTGTGTGTGTTCTTTACAAAAAGTAGGCGAAAGAGGCCAGGTGCAGGCACAGGGTCCTCTTTCTTTGGGAACACCTCATTGCTAATTAGCCTTGGTGCACTTTGTCCTGGACTGAACTGGAAGAAAATGAGGGCTTTTAAAAAGAGCACCAAGAATTGCCCTCCAGGGCTTTTTACCAAAATGGGTCCTTTCCAGGGTTTTCCCTCAAAGTAATTAACTCCCACAAGAAAAATAGCAAAGAAAGGTCAAAAGCCTTTAAAATAAACCCACAACAACCACAAAACAACTTTTATTTGCAATTTATAAAAAAGAGAAAGGAAAGACGAGGAAGCATAGAGAACAGGTAATTCCTCATGCTCCGTGGATCTGCCTTTGGGTACCAAATCAAAACTGAAAGGTGAGGTTTAAGGCTGGACCTCAGGTCTCTGGGTTATAAACGATAAATCAGAAGCACTCACCGGTCTTTAAAAGAAAATTTCTAATGAGTCTGTAACCGAGTTTTGAAACTTGTCCCCACTAAGCAGTTCGCTAAGACACTGCCTGGCTTTCCTGCCCAGCCCCAGGCCACTGGGGTCTACGTGCTTCCCAACTCTCCCTGATCCGTGCATTCTCCCTAGCCGCTGAGGTCTTGGAAAAGACGACCCAGAGCGTCAGCCTCACCTTCTCTCAGGTGGAGAGAGAAGTTGGGGGCTTCATCATCCGTCCTCCCCTCATGCACAGTCTTCTCCCGCCCACCCTAAAAACCAGAATCACAGCTTTCCAGTACTCTAGACCCAGTCCCCCCACCCCTTCCCAGGCCCCAGTGCCCAGCATCTTCCCGCGCTGTCCCCCTCCGATCTGCCCTGACTGGTGGGTAGGGCAGTTGGACTCACGGTTTCCACATCCCAGCGCTTTTACACTAAGAGCCGCTTTCCTCCCCAGGAGCTTGCAAGCTTCCCTCCTCTTTCCTACCAGGTTCTGCCTTCTCCTTTTACTCCTCCGCCGCTGTGCAGAACTCCCGCGTCCCTCCGCTGCCCCCTTGTAACTCCCCAATAGACCTCCGGCTGTCCTCTGCCACCGCTGTGGCCACCAAGCCTGCGGGATCCAGCCCGCTGCTCTTCAGTCCCAGCCGCTTGCCCTGGGACAAACAGGCGGAGCTAGGCTCCGGCGGGCTCAGACCTCCCTGCTAGATAATCGGGCTTGGGGTCTGCATTCCTCCGCTCTGCCAGGGAGCGATCCGGGAACCCTGGGCGAGCGGCAAGCAGAGTCTCCGCTGTCCTTGGGGACAGCTACAGCGCCGCGCTCCCGGGAGCGCCGCCGCGGCCACCGCGGCAGCCGCTGCTGCAGCCGCTGCCGCCGCCGCCGCGGTAGCCGCGGCTGTGGCCACCGCCACCCTCACAGCGGCTGCTGTGAACTTAACTTCCCAATGCGTCTCGCAACCCCGCTGCTCTCTCCCGGACAGTTTCGTTCACTGTACCTCGGCGAGGCTGCCCCTCCGGTGTCCAGTTCAGCCGGCTGTCCAGGGATGGCAGCCAAACACTCCGCTCCTGCACTCCTGCGCTCCTGAGTCGACTCCCTCCGAAGGGACAGGGCTTGGCAGGGTGCAGCGTGCTCTACAAACCTGGGCTTTGCTTTCGGCTGCCCCAGGCTAATTTCTTGAGCTTCCCCAGTACTATGAAGCTCGACTTTTTAAAGGAACCCGGCAAAATGTCATCCCCACATCCCCCGGGCTTGGGAGGAATTTGGAGAGGGGATTGCAAATTGCTGTTCACTGGGTAGGGAAAAGAAGAGTGGCTTACCAGAATTTCGGAGCTTCTTGTTCTTGGACACAGCCAAAATGACCATGGAGTTGCCGATCAGATCTAAGACAACGGTGATAACCATTACGCAGAACATGAAGGTGATTAGTGCTGGTGGGTAGTCGGGATTTGGCAGTGAACAGCCAATGCAGCCAAATGGGGTGGGGACCGCCTTGGTAGGTCCCATGCTGCTCTTGGGGACCGTGTCCATCCCTCCTAAGCAAGCTCAGGACCCTTGGTGAGTCCGTATGGCGAATACCTGCTATATCACCAGGAGCTCCGGGAGCTCCAGGAAAGTGTGACCGCTCTCTTGGAGGCTCAGTGAACAAATGACAGCTCCCCGCCCTTCTCTGGTGAGCTTTTAAAGCCTCGAGAAGCTCGTGGCCCCACCTCTAGCCCCTCCCTCTGACCAATCAGAGCTCTATGACCACCCCCAACCCCACCCCCTGCTGTTGTCACCACTTAGCCCTGGACAAATCCACTGTGAGGTGTCATTTTGCTTCCTACTACCTTGTTTGTGCTTCCCCACCCCTCTAGCCAGCCAGCCACCCCCCTCCCCGCCCCCGTGAATCCCCTAGGTACCTTGCTTTGTGACTAGCAGAGTAGCTTAGCATTCATTTCTAGCAATTTCTCTTTCTTCCTCCAACACAAATACCTGTTAAAGATATCTAGCTTACAGAGAGGGCTCAGGAGGTGCTTCTTGGGATCTATTGTCAGCCAGATCAAGTACACATCTCTGCCTAAGGTATAGGGGACAGCCAGGGACGTTTTAAAGCCCATATATCCTCTTCTCTACAGATTCCTTTGGAGGTTTATACTAATCCCCCGCGCTGTGGACTGTCCATAGCTTTCTATAACCACTGAGGAATGCAGGACAAGTGCTCTTGTCTCCACAGCAAATTAGGGTTCCTACATTGTAAGGAATTCATATGCTGGGGTCATTCCAGCAGTGGGTCTAATCCCTTAGCTGCTAGACTTGCACTCTCCATGGGGAAATGTACTCTGTGCTGTACTCTAAAAGCGGGGACCAGGACCGCACCCTGGGAACTCAGGAGAGCAGGTGGTGGTCGCTCAGACCCAGCTTTAGGATGGGTGGGAGTGTGACTTCTTATTCTCCCAGTTACCCACAGCCTGGCGATGAGAATTTAGGAACTGCTTTCGTAAACGTAAAACCCGCCAGTAAGACTCTCTCTTTGGACTTCTGTTCTTTGAAACAGCCCAGGGAGAACCGGTCAGGCTTCTCTGCCCATTTTGGTGCTCTGAACTTTCCATCTGATGGTATCTAGCAGTCGGACAGGTGAGGGATCTGCCTCACTGTAGCCCCAAACCTGTTGTGGCAGAACCTAGCCTGCAGCTAAAAAGCCTCAGAAGCATCTGCAGCTCCCAGCCCAAGGCACATTTTTTTTTTCCGACCCCCTCTGTTTTTGCACTCCCAGCCAGGGACTCTCTTTTCAATCCCTTCCTTTTCGCCCTGCACTTTCACGCCGGGGGTCTCCTTCACCTGCCACCTACAGTGCGCCAGAGACGTTGCAATGCCCAACTAAGGGGAGTTTGGACTTCGCTGCTCAGACACGAGGGCACATTTAAGACACTGGTCAAGGAAGTGGATTTCAGCTGACTACTAAAAGTTATTGGTCATGCTAGGGAGCCTTGAAGGGTAGAAAAAGAAAACCGAGGCAACACCTGGAAAGTTGCTGGGCAGACCAGCCTTTGGCCCTCTGTGGAGCTGATGGATTGCAAGGGCCAGGAGTGTAGCCATCGGGACTTGGCAACCCCCTACTCGGGGTGCGGGGAGGTCACAGGGATAGGTTAGGGCAAGTTTTCATTGCACTTCAACACATTTACAGACATTCAACGGAGAAACAAACACCTCTGGTAACTGAAATCGCACACTTAAGCTAAAATGCTCGAAAAGAAAGTGCGTTGTCGTGCTAGGGGAAAAAAAAAAAAACCAACCCTCACAGCTGAGAACCCAGCAAACCACCACCTTCTGTCAGGAGAATTTTCACATTTCATTGTCTGCTTCCCGCTGCAGCCCTGGCCCGCGCACTCCCACAAGGCCAGCCTCAGCCAGGATTTTCCATACAGGAACCGCAGCCCAAGATTTGGCTTGCTGTACTCAGCGCCCTACTGCGCACCTGGACGTGAGGTTAACAACTCAAAGCCTGTCCACTTCGTAGACTACATAACGATTTTTCGAGAATTCAGAACATTTCACTTACAGGATCCGAAGCGGTTTTGAATTCAATAAACGGGCTAGATAGAATAGGAGAAAATGAAAAGCAGCTTTGTAGGGGCTGCAGACACTACCCTCTCCCTTCGCTGCTAACGTAGCGAAGGCTGCTGCGGGCTATTCAGGCCAGTTAGGCTCCAGTGGGAGGATTGTGAAGCTGAAGTGGCCCCGAAGCAGGCACTCTCTGGTGCTCGTAGCTAGCCTTGAAAGCGGACTGGAATGCCTAGGAACTGAGAGTGAGTTGAGGTCTGCCCCTGCCCCATTCGGACACGATTTGACTATGACTTACTGGAGCTTTTATTTTCAACACCAAGCTGCAAACATTTTAATAATCGCTGGAGAAAGAATTCTGTTTGTATTTGAATTGTTATTTTTATGAGCTAGCTTAATACAACTTCTAAACATCACCTCAGTCCTAAGAAAAAGACATTGGTATTAAAGCTGTCACATGAACACATGCAAGAGAGGAAATTGGGGCCTGTTACAGGGGTAAGTAAGACAAGTCTCACGAACATAAATTTGATGACTTTGGAACATTTAAATTGCAACTCCTTTGTGGGTACAGTGTAGAGTATATGATATGATTTTAGAATCTAAAGACATTTGAAACAACAGGTAAATCCTGCTTAGAAGTCTTTATAACTGAAATAAACAGAAACACTGAGACTTGAAAGTGTTAACTATTAGAATTCCAAAAGGGAGACCTGGAGTCTTCTCTCAATGGGTACTTTCTGTTTCGCAAAAGAGGACCTTTATCAGAATAGACTCCAGCACCTGCAGGGGTTTGAGCTGATTGCGGTGGAAGATGGCATTTCAGCCTCCAGGCTATCTGTTCCTAAGCACTGCAATAATGTGCCTTGCCTGTGGTTAGTTACCTTATTTTTGTACTAGCTCAACCTAGAATTTCCAGATTCTGAACATGCTCTCACAGTTGAGCTCTCTTCCAAGTCCTTGAAAGCAGTTTTAAATAAGCATTTTATAGTTTTATAATGCTGGCTGGGGATTAATTTTCTCCCAACAGCACCATTAAATAGATGGTGAAACCACTGTTTAGAGGGATGACAGGACTTGCCCTAAGTTGTACCAAAACTAATGGGGAAGCCTCGCCTAAGATTTAAGCTCAGTCTCTTCTCAGTCCAGAGCCTTGCTCCCCAGGGCCAGCCTCCTAAGAAGTGTTCACATGCTGTGCTGGAGGACTTGGTAAGAGAAATGCTTTATCCTCATTTCATTCTTTTACTTTTTATTTTTACTGAGATATATTTCATATATTCACAAACCAAAATAGTTTCCCTCTCTCTCTCCCTCCCCCTCTCTCCCTCCCTCCCTCCAGCTATTTATCCACACATAGGGTCACTGTCTTCCTGCCAGAGATTGCTAGGATTACAAGCATGTACCCACACCTGGATTTTCAATTCACCCCCCTCTTATCTTTCTTACATATTTTCAAAGTTGTATAAGAATCTAATTTCACTCATCACTCCCTTCATTTGGCTCTCCACCTTCCAGAAATCACCAATGTTTCTGCCTTTATGGATTTGTCCATCTAAGCATTTCACAGACACAGAATCATACAATATTTCTATTTTCTGTCTGGCTTCTTTCCCCAACACACTGCTTTGTGGTCCATCAATGGGAAAGCTGGATCAGGAGGACTCCATTCCTTTTTATGTTTGAACGATGCCCCATTGTGTGAATAGAGTATTTTTTTTTCTTTATCCACCCATCCACTGATGGACACTTGATATCTTTCCACATTTATACTACCATGCCAAGTGTTTCTAGGAACTCTGGATTCTCTTTAGCTCCAAGAAGGTCTAGGCTGTCATAGATAAGCAAAGGGTCTCTTGGTCTCGTTGCCACTATCTCCCATGTTTGCTAAGGGATATCTTGGGCACTCCAATCTCCTCTGGCTAATGTGCTCTGAGATTTCCAAATCACATTTCAAAGGCACATAACACCATTGGATCTAATATGCAAAACTGTCAAATGAGAGTTTGGTATGATTCCAAAAACAGTGCAAATGTCTTTCAGTCTGAAAATAAGCAGGGCAGTCTCTATTTGTTTTCACACCTCTGAGATGTCTCCCTCCTTATAGGAAGAAAATAGAAATCTGCTGAGGACCTGGGTGGGCCCCATTTCCCGGTCCCCATCTTAGCACCAAGGAGACACTCTGTGGATGGTGGCTGTATTTCATTTATTAGAATGGAAAACAGATTTGAGGCTTGAGGTGTGCTCGGTGGTAGAATGTTTGAAAAGCATGTATAAGGCCCTGGGTTTCATGCTCAGGACTGAGAAATATAGTTCTAATCAGCTGTTTCACTTGGCTCGGACCAGTTATTTATCCTCTCTATATCTCCATTACCCCACAGCAGAATGCAAGTAATCATATGTCCGGAACGAGATGCAAGCACTTAGAACATTATTCAGAACCAAGGAAGCATTCAACAAACACTAGTTCCTGCAACGATGGTGATGACAGCTTCTAATATTTTGTAAAATTGTATTTTATTGTACTTCACGCAGTATAGACTCTCTCAGGGAGAACAGAGACTCTGCACCCTGCTGACTCAGGCTCTAGGGCCTCTTGCTGTTAGTCTGTAATTTCAAGTAGATGTGAGCCAATGGGCACTGTCCAGCATCCCAGCTACTGTGAATGTATCAGATGGACAAGGTCCTACAGAGGGATTTGTGTTCTCATCACTCAAGAAGCTTTCCTGGTGTGGTTTCTGTCTTTTCCACACCAGTTAGAAAGAGCACACAGTGATTGGCCTATAGATGGTCAGACCTATAGTCCACAGCTGGCCAAGTAAGCTCAGACCGAAGAAGCTGGAACCCCAGGAAGCAGGACTGGGGGTCTGGCCCAACCTAAGGAAACTGATTTAGTGGGAGGTGTGGCTACCACTACAGGGCTAAAGCTGAAACAGGGATTTAGGCAAGATCATGTCCCTTCACCTGAGATCCAGCAGGGTCAGGACATCAGCCACATCAAGAGCAGTTTGATACAGGTGCT